TGTCTCTTGTGCCATCATAGATCTCCTATTCAACATCGTAAATGACAACACCTTACACCAGCAAGTCCTGGAAATGGCACATCTATTATGTTATAATTCGTTTTTCCAATTCAATGGTATGGTATACAAGCAAGGTAGAGGAGTCCTGATGGGAAGTCCCATCTCAGGAGACTTGTATGAGATGGTGATTAGTCAACTGGAATCCAAGGTCCTTTCCAACACCTTCACAACATCATTTTATATAAGAGTTACATCGATGGAAGGAAATTCATCTTTTCATTATTCATCTTTTCACCTTCATTATCATCTTTTGGAAGGAAATTCCAGACATTGCAGTTTTTGTTGACTCTGTCAATGACAACTTGTACAGCTTAACCCTTGAAATAGATCAAGTGCACCCCCACGGGAGTACATTTCCTCGATATTAACATCAAGGTTGAAGGGACAACAATTCATACAGAGGTGTACCGTAAACCTGGATTGAGGAGTTTGTACATACCAGTGGACTCGTGTGACCCACCACAGTATAAAGCTGCAGACTGTAATGTCTTTAATTAAGAGAGCGCACATGCACTCATCCATGCAACAAGCTCTCCAGACTGAGCTAAGCCATACGCAATGCATCGCCAATGAACATGGATACCACAAGTTCACATACAGGTTGATTGACAAGTTCCACCGCTACCAAAAACCTGCCCAAGTCCTTTTCCAGGGAGAAGACCAACCTGAGAAATATAAAATCATTCCATTCACTTACAACCTTATCTAAATCACTGTATACTGAGATAACTAAAAAAAAAGCCACATCCACATTGCTTACAAAAGATGTGCATCTGTATTTAACATCCTATATAACGGAAAGGATGAGCCTGACTGGGAAAGACTCCCCAGTGTTTACAGCATCCCAATTAAAGATCACAGATGCGATAGTCTATATAGGCTCTCCTAAGGAGAGCCTATACAGACTATCGCATAGTGCTTTCATAGTCTATATAGGCTCTCCTAAGGAGAGCCTATATAGACTATGAAAGCACTATGTACGAAGTCTATGTACAAAGCACTCCTTAGGAGTTAGATTGAAAGAACACTCAGCTGATATACAGTATAAAAGGACCACCACTGCTCTAGCCATTTACGCATCGGATCCGAACATAGAGCCAGATTTTAATCAAACAAGAATTATCAGCACTACACAACACACACACACCACCTCACGTGATTAGAGGCTGTGTGCATATACATAGTTAGTCTTAGCAGTAATAAATACATCAATCACAAGGAAGAGATACATCTATAAGTAGCGTGGCAGGCACTTATGGACAAAAATCTATGATAACTGTCAAGCACTGGAGAGTGCATGCCCAAGAAGACTTAATCGAGAAGTGCATGTTCGAGTTACAAATTTGTTTTCTTCGATCTGCATTCCATCAGGAATTCAAAGTTACCCGAAGAACCTGTTCAGTTCGAAAACATTAGTAATGAACTGTATATTTTTTCATTATGAGTCATCGTGGGAGAACACACCAGTAACAGGTTTTGAGGATATTGTTAGAACCAAACTTGTAAGAAAAAGCAGATTATAGAAGATAATTTAATTTATTCTGTAAACAGATTTAATAGTTATAATTATCTTGTATTAACTTCTTGTAATAAATAAATTAAATTATCTTCTATACTCTGCTTTTATTTGAAAGAGTCATATTTTATTTATACTGTATTACATCCTAAAGAAATGCATAACAAAGTTAATTTAAGTTTCATAAAATCAGATATTCATTATCATCCTTATATCCTTTATAAAAAAGTTTCAAAAAATACAGGAACGAGTTTCTTAACTTTCCTGGCAACATTTGGTGGGACAATCTGTTTTATTAAAAATGTTTTTATATTTTCAACTATTATGGCAAAAAGTTTAATTTTGAGGGTAAGGACAGATTTTATAAAAATTGTAAATGCTAATAATGAGGAAAATCATCATTAAGTATGACCATACTGGAGATACACATGACCCCCTATATCTCCCCACCCCCTCAACTTTTAACCACTATAATTTAATAGCATCAATCTTCCCTAATAAACAAACCTCCCTGCAAAATTTCAGAAATTCTCAACAAAAAGCATAGGAGTAATTAAGCATCAAAGTGGGTGAACAAAATCATGGTCCGCCCACACACATACATACACACCCAAACATCTAAGAAAAAAACCACCAAATTTTTTTGCATTTCTCAACATTTCAAGGTATCCTGAGTTCAAAAATGTAAAAATCTTGGAGGGCTCATTTTTTGAATAATTACCATACATTTTTTGATTGATTGTCATATAGATCAGTGTTTTTCAACCTGTGGCACGGGGGTTGCGGGTAAAAGAAAAAGACAAGTGTTTATAGGTCCTACACTACAATAAAAAACCTACAATCTCAGTGAGAAGGCTGCGCTTGTTTATTTTAGAGTACAATTGGTTTTTTGATCGATATTTAGGTCTCAACAGAAAGAAACTTAAATACGTAGTTTTTAAAATTACTGACATAGTTTTAAATTAATATGGCCCTGGGGGTCGCCAGAATTTTTTTACTTGTAAAGAGGTCACTTATTCAAGAAGGTTGAAAAACACTGATATAGATGATTCACATTATTCAATGAATAATTTTTACTTTTTCAGCAGTTATATATAACAGAAAGAAACTCTGTTATCTTGTGGAGGTACACCATTATATTTTTTTATTTTGTATATATATCTTTAATATATGTATATATATTTTCCTTTCCTTCTTTGTTCTTGATTCTTTTGTATATAACTCAGTGGTGCACTGTGACATTTAATGATAGGGAAGCTGTGTTTCTGTAAGAAGCCAACTTCCAGGGGCAATCAGTTAATTCTTAAATGTATTTTTAATAGATTATTTATCTGACATAATTAATAAATAAACAAGTTCAATATAATTACCTCTGTTATTAGATTCAATAGATTCCCTATGCCCTCAAAATGCCGATTTTTGCTTTGATAAAAACATATAACATCTATTAATTTAAATATATCTATTAGCCGTAACTATCTCATTATAATTTTCAATATTTATTTTATATTATTTACTAATGTTAAATTCTATTCCACTTTGATTTCCAAATTGCTTCAAATACGAAAGAATTGATGATTTTTCGTGTCATTTGCCAGCTAAATTGTCAAAGCTATTCTTATTCCATATGCTAATTTCATTTGAAAATAGTAGGCAAGCCAACAAAACAGTTTTTGCATTTTTATGCAATTACAGAGCCATTTTATCATGAAAATGTCAAACAAATTTTTTATTGAAGTGTTTATATTTAACTTAGGCATTGGCCTTTCTCTTTTAATAATGTTTTCTTTTTCATTATATGATCTTGAGCCAAAACTTTTTTAAAATAAATTTTCAATATTGCAATTACATTCTGAATCCCTAGCTATAATATAAGAGCTAAAATTAAAAATAAAATAATAAAAACTTACTTGGTGAAATAAAATGTGTGGTGGATATTCATACCTGGTACAAAATATTCTTCAATTGTATGAATATACTTTTAAAGAAAATTATAATTAAATATAACTTTGTAATGAAACGTACATGAAAATAACATAAAATATTCTTTACTCTTTAAATCTTAACCACTTAGTCAAATAGCTCCCTACGAGTGGAATCAGAGACGGTCCTGCTAGGTGTGCGGTGTGTACTGTACATGCACGCGGGCTGCCAAATCCCGAGGGTGCCGATACCCTCGGGATTTGGCAATGTCAAATGTTTCTTTTGTCGCATCACTAATATACCTCAAAAGACGCGACAGGGTTCTTGTAAATTTTAAACGTTTCTCACCATAGCTGTAAAAGTCTAAATATGTTAAACTTAATAGATTGTCCGTCTTTTGTTTTCTAACTAATTCGTTTTAGGACCAGGTGTTGTCCACGGAAATTTCCAAAATTTACAACTTTTCGGTCACTCTCGTCGAACTGGAAAAATTTCTGTCTTTATTACATCTAATACAGTATTTCGAAGAAATCAGTCCCCACTGTACTCGGCTATAGATTGGTTCGGTTAAGCTTTTGTTTAAGTAATATTCCGGCTCTTTCATCAGGGTTTTGTTTATGTCCCCAATTCCCTAATCGCTTAATTATTTAACTAATTCTTAAGTAGAAATAAGTCAAAACCAGTTATTTTGTACTCGAATATTTGTAGTCTTGGGGAAAAAGTGGAAAGACAAATTTTTATGACAAACGGATACATAAATCGTAAATTTAAGGAAAATAAATTATAGAGCTTTTTCTGTACCTCATGCATCTCTCTCATTCATTAAATTTAGTTGTAAATGATTCTACCAAAGTAACAGTTAATTTTTTAACATTATACAAGAATTGTACACGTTTTTTTCTACATTCCCTTAGAGATGGGATATACGAAATCGTAATGTCACAGGTTTAACATTGAAATCCGTGAGTAATATAAAATCGGAGAGCGGAATAAAAATATCAAATATTTTAATGGAATTTTTAAAACTCCTGTCAACTATACAGAACTATCATAAAAACATACAGGTAAATTCTTATTGGTTGGGTTAAGTTATAAATCTACTCATGATTCACATAATGGGGCGAGGGCAGCCAAATATCTAGCGGGAAGGCGGCTAACAGCCCAGAACCGGTCCTGGATAGAATTGAAAGTGTTATATGTGTAGCATCCATCCAAGGTCCTAGGCTTCCACCAGCTAAACCAGGTGAGGTTGGTGCTCTGTAAAGCACATGCGCGAATCTGGCTGTTTGGAAGCTGACAATACAGCGCTTCCACTCCGCCACTAATATTCGAATATGCAATAGTGATCTTATCTTTTTTTTTCAAATGTAGTGTAGAAATTTGTAATAAGATACATAATGCGGTTAATGTGGTTATAATAAAATATTGTGTGATTATTTTCATATAATTAAAATTAATATGTATTTATTTTTTAGAAAATACGAGGGAAGCGGTGCTTCCATTACTTCCAATGACGGCACACCACTGATATAACTTCCTAGAAACTTCTCCCAAGTGTAGGTGGTGGGTGACCTAGTTAGTGGACAAAAGGAAGTAGTAGTCCAGAGGGCAAAAGAAAAGACACATGAGTTCACTTTTTGCTGGGATGTCGAAGAGAGAAGATGTATCGGAGCGTTCTCCAGGTCGTTTTGGCATTGGCTGGAGAGAGAAAGTGACGAAAAATTAAGACTAGCAATCAAGAGAAATCGAGTATCTTGATATAAGGACCTCTGGAAGGATATAGGAAAGTTTTTGATCGAATTTTACTTACATCGTTCCCCGCCATCCAGAAAGATATCATTCAACCACTACCACCTTGATCGTCAACTATAATGGGTACCCATTCTTTTCTAGCACTATAGATCTACATGTCCTATTTTCTATCCTTTCTTTCTTTCTTTTTAGTATAAGTAGTTTTTAAGTTATTAGATTTTAAGTTATTAGATAAGTTTTCTTTGTACTGTGGCGAATATTTTCAGTCGATCTCTCAGTCGCGAGATTTGTGTTAACAGTTTTGCCTGTATATCTGATAAATTTGTTTGAACATGAATGAGAACTGTTGGAATCTGAAAGAATCCGGTTAAGTGTAAAATACAGGTGAAAAAAACATTTCTTAATAAATGTTTCTTATTAAACGATAATAATAAATGTTTCTTATTGTAATATATGTGTATCTCTTTGTTAGATCAAACTCACCATGTGTTTATGACCACAATATATAACTGCTGAGAAAGTAAAAATTATTCATTAAATAACATGAATTATCTATATTGTTACAAATACTGGAATGTATTTAAAGTTTAGACAAACAAAAAAATTTATTTAATGAGAACAGTAACAAATACAAAGGTAAACTGCTCAAGTGTCTACTTGAAATAAACGTCAATCAACTAGTGAGGTTTTCGAAGCAACTGTTTCCAGATACAATGACATGACAAAGATACATGAAATAGTTATAGATGATTTTTGGCAAAATATCACTATGGAAGCTATCAAAAGCATTAACAATGACTGTTTTGAGGTCATCAGTTGATTTTGGGGCCTTATGATAGACCCAAAATTCTGTCCTTAAAGCAACTTTTCAGCCAACAATTCCCTTACAGGCACCAAAGACAGAACCAGTTTCTTAAAATTTCTGTATTAAGTTCATGATTGTACACTGAGATGGTTTTGGGCAGTTCATGATTGTTGTGGACCACTTGCAAAGCAATTCTGTGATGTTTTTGTGCACTTTATAATAAGTTTTTATGAGAAAAATCTGGTCTTTCATGGACTATTGCTGTTTGCACATCATACTTAAAATAACACCAAACTCCTTCAATTGTTTATTTTTTTTTATCACAATCTCAATGGCATTCTACCAGTGCACCACACAACTTCTGTGCACATAATTCAATTTCTTTTCTGTCTAAACATTGCCACCTAGTATTTTATAAGATTAAAGGTTTCTTACTGGATATACTTCTTTGTATATTCTGTAGCCACTTTTTAAAAATAGAAACTTACCTATTATTAATTCCAAAGAAAAATTTTCTGTTATATGCAATACGCTGTCTTTCTAAAGCTTCTGGGCATTTGTCCAAAAAGTGATTTCCAAGGCAATTAAAACAACTGAAATATTTATAATTATGAAGATTTTTATAAAAACTTCACAAAATATTATGACAAAATCAAAATCTATTAATATTTTAAACAGAACAAGATAAACAGATATAAAAAGAAAATATATTCAAATAAATTAATAAAAGCAATGTTAAAAATTCAATTAACAAATAGACATATTAAGTTATTAGATTATTTGATTATATGTATGTTTAACAAACTTCACAGAAATGTGTACTTGATAATGTAAATATATCAAGTATTGTTGATCAATAAAAACTATAAAACAATGGGATCAGTGAAATTTCTAAAAATATAATTTCTAAAAATAAAAGATTATCTTTAGATAAGATAAACGAGTAAAATAAACACTCTTTCTTAAACCGATTTCGAGTGATTTATATCAGCAGACAAATAATTAACAAAGATATTATACTTCAGCCAATGTTATTTCTTTTATTATTTTCAAACTTCTCCAAAAATTTGCTGGGAAAGATTTATTTGTATAAAAAGAAATGAGTTGCTTGTTCAACAACAACCAACTCATTCCTTTTCATACATTCCTCATCCAAAGGAAAAGCAGTTTCCTTTGCATAAGTACATGTTTTGCAGTCAAGTTCCGGGTATGAAAAGAGGCTACAATTTTTAAATGTCATTCTTATCAATAGCCACCATCTTGACGGAATATGTATTCATTGTAAAGCTGTTTTATTAAAACAATAACAATGCAACTACACTTTAGGAATGTCACTGTCATAAGAATTTATGCTGAGGACTGTTGAATTCACAAGCTCTCAGAAGGATCAGTTGATTCAAGAAAGCTGGGTCAAGGGTGTAAACCTATCATTTCACAGGTTTTTGATAATGTTACCACAACTGTTATTGAACAATCAATGAATAATGTCACAGGCTCCAAAAGTGCATGAGCAATGTCTCAGCAACTGGATGTATCCTATGGAATAAATTGGAAGGTACTGAGATAACCAGCAGTTGCTTGCTGCTGACAGAGAACCCAACTGACCTTTGCATTGATCTTCCTTGTCAGCACAGAAGTGGATGTGTCATGGCCCATGAAAGATCTTGTGGAGAAACAAGACACATTTTCACATCAGTCAGTGGGAACAATGGGTATTCATAATTGTCATATTTTGGTTATAAAAAAAACCCTATTTTTTACAGCCATCACCTGAAGTTACAGTCTGGTGTGAATTCACAACTACATTTATCCTAAATTTATTACCATTTTTATAGCTATTAAACAAGTAGACAGTAAAATAAATTAAAGTAATAATATTATAATAAAATCATGAACTATAAAATAATTAATTATATTAAATTTTAAATTTAAACAATCTCAAAAACAAAATAAAATAAAAAACCATTCAAAAGTCCAGCATAATTCTTTAATAACAAAAGAACATTTTCAAACACATTAAGCGTCCATCATCAGTTATTTCTCTAAAATCGAATGAGAAATTTGAATGGTTTTTTTATTTTATTTCATTGAATTTAGTCTCCAGTAAGCAAGTATACTTTTATATACTCAAAAACAAATTTTCAAGAAATAAAAAATGCACATTTTTAGTAGAAAATAAACAAACAAAATGTATAAACCCACATAATTTACAGTTATTTTATGTAAAAATTGCATTAATTTTTAAAAAATCTTCATTGAAACTCAAACCAGCAATCTCACAATGAGTAAGGTACACTTCAATAAAAGTGCACCTTACTTATTGTCAATTGTCCATAAATAGTCTTCAAAAAAAGGTTCTGCAAAATTTACTCATAAGTCACTCAGGATGTTTTAATCTCAATCTTCCTGAAAACATTTGAGAAGTGCATTTTCTCTCTTTGCTCAATAAAGGTTTGTACTAAAGCTTATCCTTACACATAGTACTATTGAAATCTGTGAAGATCATATCATGACCTTCCCTTGTCAATGAAAAAAAAGTTATTTTTCTTCGTTATAGAAAAATTTTTACACTTAATTCGTTAATGACTTTCAAACAATTTGAAAAACCTTGCCTTTCCTTGTTTAAAGCATCTATTCTAATTTTTCAAACTACTGTATTAGTAATGCAATTTTACAATATTTTATTCAAATATCAATTCTAAGAACTTTTAGTAATAAAATGTAATTAAATTATTTATACAAAAATGGGAGTCAACAGCAAAAGCAGCTCTAAATATAAAACTAAGATTTAAAAATATATACAAACTTTTTATGTATAAACAATCCATCCACAATTTGATTTTAAGTAATGCCAAACAATCTGCCATATTATTGAGCTTTAATACAGCTAATTTAAAAATTAATTTATTATAATTATTAAAATTATCACAAAATGGCAACCTAACCATCTACCTCTAGTTAAATTACTTTATAACTAATTATTATATAACCTTATTGCCTGATAATACAGCACATCATTTGGCATTATATTTTTATACTGGTACTTTAAAATTTTCACAGAAAAATAAATGTAGAATGTAAAAAGGAATATATTCAGAATTATAAAACAATTATATCAGTATTTTAAGAATATAGCAAATCAATTCAATGATAAAAATAAACAAACACCAAATACATTATATGTACTGTACCTATTTCAGCAAATGAAAAACCAGAAGAAACTATAATTTTCTATAAAATTTGTAAAATTATATTTTATGATTTGACCTGTCTTGAAGATACATTAACAGAAATTTATTTTAATCTTTAGCAAAAGAGATTAACAGAAGACTAAACAAATAATTAAAAAATTAATAAATTAAGTATTTGTTTAAATAATTAAAAAGCAAAATATGACGACAGATCTTGTAAATAATTTAAATTTTAAAATAAAAATGTTTGGAAAATTTCATAAACAACTTACCGAATAAAAGTTAATTTTTCTGAATTTCCATTTTGATCAAGAATATCTTTATATGCATGATTATATCAATTTAAAATTNTAAAAATCTGGGGGGCTCATTTTTTGAATAATTACCATACATTTTTTGATTGATTGTCATATAGATCAGTGTTTTTCAACCTGTGGCACGGGGGTTGCGGGTAAAAGAAAAAGACAAGTGTTTATAGGTCCTACACTACAATAAAAAAACCTACAATCTCAGTGAGAAGGCTGCGCTTGTTTATTTTAGAGTACAATTGGTTTTTTGATTGATATTTAGGTCTCAACAGAAAGAAACTTAAATACGTAGTTTTTAAAATTACTGACATAGTTTTAAATTAATATGGCCCTGGGGGTCGCCAGAATTTTTTTACTTGTAAAGGGGTCACTTATTCAAGAAGGTTGAAAAACACTGATATAGATGATTCACATTATTCAATGAATAATTTTTACTTTTTCAGCAGTTATATATAACAGAAAGAAACTCTGTTATCTTGTGGAGGTACACCATTATATTTTTTTATTTTGTATATATATCTTTAATATATGTATATATATTTTCCTTTCCTTCTTTGTTCTTGATTCTTTTGTATATAACTCAGTGGTGCACTGTGACATTTAATGATAGGGAAGCTGTGTTTCTGTAAGAAGCCAACTTCCAGGGGCAATCAGTTAATTCTTAAATGTATTTTTAATAGATTATTTATCTGACATAATTAATAAATAAACAAGTTCAATATAATTACCTCTGTTATTAGATTCAATAGATTCCCTATGCCCTCAAAATGCCGATTTTTGCTTTGATAAAAACATATAACATCTATTAATTTAAATATATCTATTAGCCGTAACTATCTCATTATAATTTTCAATATTTATTTTATATTATTTACTAATGTTAAATTCTATTCCACTTTGATTTCCAAATTGCTTCAAATACGAAAGAATTGATGATTTTTCGTGTCATTTGCCAGCTAAATTGTCAAAGCTATTCTTATTCCATATGCTAATTTCATTTGAAAATAGTAGGCAAGCCAACAAAACAGTTTTTGCATTTTTATGCAATTACAGAGCCATTTTATCATGAAAATGTCAAACAAATTTTTTATTGAAGTGTTTATATTTAACTTAGGCATTGGCCTTTCTCTTTTAATAATGTTTTCTTTTTCATTATATGATCTTGAGCCAAAACTTTTTTAAAATAAATTTTCAATATTGCAATTACATTCTGAATCCCTAGCTATAATATAAGAGCTAAAATTAAAAATAAAATAATAAAAACTTACTTGGTGAAATAAAATGTGTGGTGGATATTCATACCTGGTACAAAATATTCTTCAATTGTATGAATATACTTTTAAAGAAAATTATAATTAAATATAGCCTTGTAAAGAAACATACATAAAAATAGCATAAAATATTCTTTATTCTTTAAGTCTTAACCACTTAGTCAAATAGCTCCCTACATGTGGAATCAGAGACGGTCCTGCTAGATGTGAGGTGCGTGTATGCACGCAGGCTGTCAAATCCCGAGAGTACCAATACTGGTTAATGTCAAATGCCTCTTTTGTCGCATCACTAGTATACCTCAAAAGATGCGACAGGATTGTTGTAAATTTTAAATGTTTCTCACCATAGCTGTAAAAATCTAAATATGTTAAACTTAATAGTCATTTGTTTTCTAACTAATTCGTTTTAAGACCAAGTGTCCACAGAAATTTCCAAAATTTACAACTTTTTGGTCACTGTTGTTGAACTGGAAAAATTTCTGTTTATATTACATCTAATATTACAAAGAAATCAGTCCCTGCTGTACTCAGCTAGAGATTGGGTCGATTAAGCTTTTAAGTAATATTCTGGCTCTTTCAGCAGGGTTTTATTTATGTCCCTAATTCCCTAATCAATTATTTAATTATTTCTCAAGTAGAAATAAGTTGAAACCAGTTACTTTGTACTCGAATATTTGTAGTCTTAGGAAAAAAGTTTTAGGAAAGACAAATTTTTATGACAAATGGATACATAAATTGTAAATTTAAGGAAAATAAATTCTAGAGATTTTTCTGCACCGTGTGCATCTCTCTCATTCATTAAATTTAATTGTAAATAATGCTGTCAGAGTAACAGTTAATTTTTTAACATTATACAAGAATTGTACACGTTTTTTCTACATCCCCTTAAAGATGGGATATACAAAATCATATCACTGGTTTAACATTGAAATCTGTGAGTAATATAAAATCGGAGAGCAGAATAAAAATATCAAATATTTTAATGGATTTTTTTAAAACTCCTGTCAACTATACAGAACTATCATAAAAACATACAGTAAATTCTTATCAGTTGGTTAAGTTATAAATCTACTCGTGATTCACATAATCAGGCAAGGGCGGCCAAATACCTAGCAGGCAGGTGGCTCATAGCCCAGAACCAGTCCTGGATAGAATTGGATACTGTATACGTGTAGCATCCACCCAAGGTCCTAGGCTTCCACCAGCTAAATTGGGTGAGATTGGTGCTCTGTAAAGCCATGTGCAAATCTGGCTTTTTGGATGCTGACGATACAGCGCTTCCACTTTGCCACTAATACCAGTCGATCTCCCTATAACAGTGTTGATTATTCCGTTTTATATGAATTCCATGTTGTACGAGTCATTTCGATTTTACAAATACATGAGCTGTTCACAGCCTGGCACACATATTTGTAAAATCTAAGTGACTCGTACAACATGGAATTCGTATAAAACAGAATAATCAACAGTGTTGTAGGGGGTCGACTGGTATTCGAATATACAATAGCAATCTTATCTTTTTTTCACGTGTAGTATAGAAATTCGTAATAAGATATATAATGCAGTTATAATAAAATATTGTGCGATAATTTTCATATAATTAAAATTAATATGTATTTATTTTTTAGAAAATACAAGGGAAGCGGCACATCCACCGCTTCCAATGATGGCACACCACTGCAGTATATCTTAGTTATTATACGAAGATTCGGTCCATAATACAAATAAAAGTGAGTCATCTGCTAAGTCAGTGTTTTTCAACCTTTTTCATTGAGTGGCACCCCTGATTGAAAAATAAAAAATCGTGACACCCTTGACCAGCAGCGGATCTGAATAAGGGGGCTAATGGGCCAGATAAATTTTTTGCGAAAACGAATATTACGTGCAACGCTGGGTGGGGTCCGGGCAGGGCGTTTCCTCCCGGGAAGAAAACTTTTAAAAATAGACAATTTGAAGTAGCATTTTAATGCAAAAAAACAGCGTTTCTACGTGTTCAAAATCAAAATTTAAGTCCATAGAATTTTGTCAAAATACCTACATGTAAAATAATAGTCTCTCTATTGTTTTTTAAATTTAGTTTTATTATAAAATATATCATCATTTTATATTATTATTTTATTGATAAACAATTTTTGTTAAATTTACTGGTTATAGCTGTATATTCGTTTGTGAATGGTTGTCTCTTTAATCCGACTTATTCTTTCGACTTATTCATTTAATCCGCCATTAACCTAATGCTGTAAGATAGTCTACCGAAAGAATAAGTCGGATTAAAGAGACAACCATTCACAAATTTAAGTTTTTTTATACTATTTTGATGCATATATAAAATAAATATTTCATTACTTTTTTCTTATCTTTTTCATATCAATTTAAAAAATTTAAATTAAAAAAATGATAAAAAATTGTTTATTTGTCATCATTGCTTTTGAATACTATGAAAATACTGTAATATGCACCTACTTTGTGATTGAAACCACA